GGGGTAAGTCTATACTTCTTCTTCCATTTTCTCTCTCGATCAAAAAGTTTCCAGAAGATTACTGGGTTTTGAGCTTCGATTTTTCTGGGTTTTGTTGAGTTCTGAGTAAAGNGAAGATTACTNAGCTTCGATTTTTCTGGGTTTTGTTGANTTCTTCTAGATTTGCTTACTTAGCTATGAGTAAAGAGTAGATTTTTATGGGTTTTGTTGAGTTCTGAGATTGGAAATGGTTTACTTTGATATTGTTGAGTTCTGAGATTGGAAATCTATGCTCTTTTGTTCATGGATTTTTTGTTTTACGAAGATAGCAAAAAAGATGACTGATTGGATATTGATATATATTAAGCTGAGGACATGAATATAATGCCAAAAAGAGAATTCCTATTGGTTGTTGTTGGATGTAACAAAACAGAGCAGGTAAACAGAGGAGGATAATTAAACACAAGATAACAAAATAATCTTTGCTCATTATATGTCCTCAGCAAAAACCTAAATTCTCTGTCTTTATATGAATACTACACTTATGCTTTATACAATTTTTTCTTATAAAATCAGCTTTTCAAAGTCTTAACTACTTCTTGAATTGGATCTTCACTGTTGATATTAATATAAATCACGCTCACATTCCATTTTGCCTAACACAATCACGCTCTGCCTCTACCTCATTTGTAAAGTCTGTTAGTTCCCATTCTCTATTGTTACGCCTTCTCATGTTCATTAACTTTGAGAAATTCTTCAATGTTTATGCAATTTATTGGGTCTAACGCCATGTTCTATTATGAGAGGTAATTGTTGTATCTATGTTTAGTTTTAGTTGGACATAAGAAAAGAATATATTTCTATTGTATTATTTTTGGTTGAAAACATTTGTGTAAATTTATTAGAACGTTAGCTATTGTTATGTTGCTGTTTTTTTAATTAATTGTTGACAAGATAGCTTAGTTGATCAACCCCAAATATTTTTAAAACGTTTACTACTTGCTATTTCTTTGCCATAACCACTAAAAATCGGTTTCTGCTTCCTCTTGGAGCATTCAAAAAGAGATTCATTTGATAGTTTATGATGAGGTTTTCTTTTGTGGATAACTTTGTTTTGTGGATAGCTTTGCTTTGTGGCTCGAGAACA